ATGCATGCATACACGTCAATATATGCATGCATACACCCCAATATATGCATGCATGCATACACCTCAATATATGCATGCATACACCCCAACACCTGCACGTACACCCCAGTCACTGGCATCGTAATCAGGCATTCAAAGTTTGAGGTGTATCGACAGCGACGCTGCGAGGTGTATTGCAGATACGCTGAGAACGTGGGGTGTATATGCAGCTGAAGGCTGTCCGCGGTGTGTATGCACGTGTGGGGTGTATCTGCATGCACGTGTGGGGTGTATCGGCATGCACGTGTGGGGTGTATCTGCATGCACATGTGGGGTGTATCTGCATACACATGTGGGGTGTAGTGTATATGCATGCATGCATGCGTGGGGTGTGCAACTGCATGCTGTGGGGCGTATATATGTAATATATATTTTATATACATAATATAATATATATTATATACATTATATATGAAAAATATATATTATATATATAAACATACACATATAACATATAAAAAGTATATTATATACATATACAAGTATATAAAACATATAAAATAAATAAAATAAAGATAATAGATATAATAATATTATGATGTCTAACCGTGAAGCACATCGAAGGAGCCGTCTACGTAGACAATTCTGTCTCCTTTCTTTGGCTTCTTTGGGGTGCCGATGAACTGCAGAAGCCGTTTAGAAGATAAGAAGAGGTTTGTGCTTCTTGAGGGCTGCGATGCATGCGCAGCAGCTGTGGGGTCTTCCGCTGTCTGCCCACCTGCTGCTGCTGCTGATGCTGATGATGATGTAGATGCTGCGGATGCTCCTGTTGCAGGTGCTGCTGCTGCTGCTGCTGCTGTGTCTTCAGCACTTGCAGCTTCTGATGCAGCAGTTTCTGTCTCTTCTGTTGCTGCTGCTGCGTCGTGCTGCTGCAGCAATTGTGGTGTATGCGCTGCATTAATTTGCGTGGCTTGTGAAGAACTAAAAAACTGCTGGACAGCGGTTTGCTGCTGCTGCTGCCTCGAAGTAACTGCTGCTGCTGCTGCTGCTGCTGTTTCAGCAGCAGCATCCGTCCCCCCCGACGTAGCAACAGCAGCACCACTCGCAGCAGCAGCAGCAGCATCACAAGCAGCACCCTCATACGAAGCAGCAACATCAGCAACATCAGCAGCATCAGCAGGAGCAGCAGGAGCAGCAGGAGGAGGAGAAAGAGGTAGATGTGCTGTTGCATGCAGCAGCTTTTTAGTAATTGCTGTTGAGCTGACGCCTTCAGTCCTCGCGAACGTTTTCATCCTTCCTGCTGCTCTCGGGCCTGCATATGCGTCTTCACCTGTCGAGCTGCACACCCAGTCGTCCCCGTGAGCAGCAAATTCACAAGATAGAGCATCTAGAAGGTGCGTAGACACTGCGTAGGGTGTCCCTACAACAACTTCATCAACCCACTTACAGCTAGCTATTACTTCTGCTCTTTCTGCTGCACTGTAGACAGGAAGGAAGCCTTTTGCTGCTAATACTGCTTCATCGCCGTTTATACCGACTACTAAACAACACCCTAATTCTCGCGCTTGTCTTAATGCATTCAAGTGACCAGAGTGCAGCAAATCAAATACACCGTCTACATACACTCGGCCCAGTAAGCATCGCCCTCCAATGCTCCTGCTGCTGCTCCTGCTGCTCCTGCTGCTGCTGCTGCTGCACCTGCTACTGTTGTTGTTCTTGCTGCTGCTGCTGCTGCTGCTGCCGTTTCCAAGCGACAGAGGCAGGGGGATCGGGGTACTAGAAGGCGGGCTGCTGCTGCTGCTGCTGCAGTTGCTGCTGCAGTTGTGGCAGTTGAGCCCGCTGCTGTTGCTGCTGTTGCTGCTGTTGCTGCTGTTGCTGCTGCTGCATTCCTCGTTGTAGAAGCAGCAGCTGCCTGTTGCTGCAGAGAAATCCGACAACACTGCAGCACCAGTTTCATCATCATAAACAAACATCAGCGGCTCGCCAGCAGCAGCAGCAGCAGCAGCAGCAGGAGCAGCAGCTTCTGTATCTTCATCTGCTGTGCTTGCTGCAGTGCTGGAACAAGCAGTGCTCTGCTGCCCCTCCTGTCCCTGACTCCTGACCTCTACACCTTCTTTCATATCTAACCGCTCATCCAGTGCTGCTGCTGCTGCTGCTGCTGTTGCTGCTGCTGCTGCTGTTGCTGCTGCTGCGGCTGGTGATGCAACCTCTGCTGCTTCTGCCGCTGCTAGAACAGCTGTTTCTGCTTCTGCTGCAGCAGCTGCATTTCCTTCTGTTGAGACTACTGCTTGTGCTGCAGTTGCAGCTTCTTCTGTTGCTGCAGGGACTGCAGCAGCAACTGCTGCCTCGGTTTCTTGTGCTGTCGCTGCTGCTGCTGCTGCTGAATCCAAGTTGTCTGCATGTGTATTGGATGCGAGGAGGTGTGCCTTCAGTGCGGAGACATCTGCTGCTGCTTTTGCATGCAGTTGCTGCTCATCACATAGAGAGCAAGGAAGAGCAGCAGCAGGGCGGCCTGCAGCAGCAGCAGCAGCAGAGGAGGGAGCTTGGGGCCCCCTCTGTGATATCAGGTGGGCCCCATGACTGGACAGCAGAGAGCGAAGGACTTTATCTGCAGCAATTAGCTGATAGACATGTATCAGGCGGTGTAGGTAGCAGATGTCTGTACAGCCTAGAGGCGAAGCCGAGCAAGAAGCCATTGTGCTGCTGCTACATGCATGCATGCATGCATGCATGCACACATGCATGCATGCATGCAAGAGTTAAAGGAAGAAGTCCGAAATAAAAACCAGAAACACCCACAATCCACAAGGGGAGAGCACAGCAGCAGCTGAGCAGCAGCAGCAGCAGCAGCAGCAGCAGCAGCAGGCCTGCAGCCTAGCGGTGGTCTTCTGGGGTTAAAGACAAATAAATATAAACAGCAATCATAAAAAGAAATAAATAAAGATAAACAATAATCGTCAGCAGCCAGACCCTCCCCCAGCAGACACCCAACAAGAGCGCTCTGCTGCAGCTTTGCTTTGCTGCTGCAGCAGTTTGCGGTGTACGTACACCGAAAGAGAGTGTATAAAGTAAGAAAAAGAAAAGTAAATAAAATTATAAATAGACGTCAAGATAAGCTGTCAAATGCTGCATCAATCAAAATAAAATAAACATAGATCCCGATACACCGCAACTCTCTTACTGCTGCTGCTGCTGCTGCTGTTGATATATATATATATTATATTTATAGGGCTGCTGGGGGCCGCTGCAGCACAGATCCGTGTAATGCTGCATAACTTTGCTGCTCTTTCTTATCCTTTATTTTATTTTTTTAAAGAACAATACTCAGTAAGTTATATTCTTAAATAAATGTATTAAAGCAGAGCGCTAGAAACGAAGCTCTCTCTTTATAGCCTTCTTCTTGCGTTATAAACATCCTTACTACCATTAAAACCCTACAATAAGATAGCAGCAGCAAATATAAATTTTAATCAACATATCTCTCTATCCACTCTACTCTCTGCATGCATTCGTTTTGTTGTTGCATGCGTGCATGCACCAACGAAACAAAACAATAAAAAATTCTTAAAAAGAAATAATTTAATTTATTAAAGCCCCAATCTATACTCGCCGCTGCAACTCCTCTGTGGGCAATCACAAACAACCACCATCTCAATATTAAACCCTCGGGTCATATGCATGCATGCATGTATGCATGCATACATGCATGCATACATGCATGCACGCATGCCTTCACGAACTGCATGTATGCATACATGCATGCATACACGAACTGTATGCATGCATGCATGCATGCATACACGAACTGCATGCATGCACCAGGAATTGCATGCACGCATGCATGCATGCGTGCCCTGTTTGCATGCATGCATGCATGCATGCAGTTGGTTGATCCTCGGGCTGCACGCAGCCTGTAGTAGCATCCCTTTCTTATTATTCTTTTAAGCGTAGGAAAACAGCTAGCTACAGATAGTTAGCTACGCACAGCTAGTTAGCTAGCTAGCAGCTATGTTTGTCTGAGTTGATGGGTTGTTCAGAGTTTTAAAGATAGGGGTTTAGAGACTGTCTCCCCCTCTCTGCATGCTGCTGTGGGGCTGCCATTGTTTTCTGTCTCTGTCTCTTCTGTCTCTTATACTGATCTAATATATATAAAAAATATGCGTTTATATATATGTATAATTATATGAGAGAGATAAATATTTACGTGCATGCAAATGCACATATATATGAATGCGTTTATATATATATATATATATATATA